TCCCGTGTCCTCATTGAAAAATAGTCTGTCCATTCAGCGGACAACGCAGACATTATCGCTCATATACATATTCACTAGCTACCCCCGCCTCACCCTCGACTTCCACACCAACAAGCGTATCATCGATGAAGTCGTCAGTAGTCGAGTCCAACTGGTGTCTTTCTTTGTTACTCAATCCGCGTATAGGCGGTAGTACCCTCGAAGCGGCTGCGCAACAAAATCTCCGGCTTCACCACCCATCTCATGAAGCGTATCCAGAAGGGGCCCGTCCGTGGCATCTCCTTCAAGCTGCAGGAAGAAGAGAGAGAGCGGAAGGACAACTACGTCCCCGAGGTTTCTGCTCTCGACACCTCTGCGTCTGGAGGATTGGAGATCGACCCGGATACCAAGGTGGGTTGCCCGCCATTTTTTTTTTTTGGCTCTCCCTTATCCCTGACATGACGGTCCTTTCTGTAGGCACTCCTTACCGCCTTGAACTTCGACTCGATCCAAGTCTCGGTTGTTGTCCCGGTGACTGCTCAGCCCGAACGCAGCGGCCCTGGTGGTGGCCCCAGGCGGGAGAGGCGGAACGTTCCGGGCGCTGCTCCCCGGTAAACGTCTCCACGCGAGTCTCGAGGCATGAAGTATATGGTACATGTGTGTCTTTTACCCGCCAAAAATTATTATGCTATGCCATATCTTCAATTTTTGCGACTAGAGTACGTAGATGTAAGTTATATGGGAGGTGTAGTAGGGACCGGGTCTGTCGGACCGGTCACCAAGGTTTATAAGATTAGATGCCCTTTTAAGCTTTGCTCTAGATCTTGCCTCGTCCGTTGCACGATGTCGGAAACGCCTGCTCCTGCTGCAGAACCAGCTCCTACCTCTGGCGCTGCTCCTCCTGCTCCCACACCCACCGTCCCTGCAGTCTCAGAGTCTGTCCCACAGATGTCGAGTCCGACAACCGCAGTAGATTCCGGAGATTCCCCAGCACTACCCCAGCCTGGAGCGACGCCTGTCCCACCTGTAACCCCTGTAGCTACCGCAGAACCGACCTCCGTACCTACCACATCTCCGGTGGAACCTGAGAAGCCCGAGCCGCAGAATGCCCTGACTGAGAAATTTACCGGTTACGAATGGAAAGCGCTCACTGAATTCCGGGTACTTGCGCCCTCGATGACTACAAGACTCATATTGATGGGTTGCGTGCAGAAACTAGTTCCGGAATCACTGGTACAGGCATACGAGAAACCGGAGGCAAAGACTACCCCCATCATCCTTTGGGGTGTGCGGATAGACCCAACCAACCTCGTCGACGCCCGTACCAGCGTCGTGCTCATGAAATTCTTGCGTGCGAGGTATAGTGGTCCATGCCATATCATTTAGCGCGTCTATAATAACCGGCAGGAATCTTAATCCCACCGCCGCGAGCGAGATCTTCGTCGCGACCCTGCGTTGGCGTGAAGAGTTCAAAGTCAACGATGCGGTCAAGGAGGAGTTCCCGAAGGATGTCTTCGGGCAGCTCGGCCATATATATGGGCGCGACAAAGAAGGTCGGCCTGTTGTGTATGTTTTTCACTTTCGTGTCACCCCCCGCCACGCTAATTCTTTCTTGCAGATACAACATCTACGGAGGGGATCAGGACCTCGACGCCGTGTTTGGTGACGTCGAACGCTTCCTCCGCTGGCGCGTCGCATTCATGGAACGGTCACTCGAAATGCTTGATTTTGCCAACGTCGACCAGACTATCCAGATCCACGGCACGTTCTGACCCATCGCACTCCATATCACCCCTCTTGACATTCCAGTAGACTACGAGGGCGTCAGCATGTCGAGCCGGACGCCCGCGTCCAAGAATGCGGCGGCCCAAGCCAGCAACATATTCTCCAGCCACTACCCCGAGCTGCTTGTGCGTCTCAGTCGCACCGCACCAATGAGCCCATGAACTGACGACATGTGCAGTACAAGAAATTCTTCGTGAACGTTCCGAGCTACATGTCGTGGCTCTTTTGGATCTTCAAGACAATCCTCCCCTCGGCGACGTTTGCCAAGATGAGCGTTGTCGGCAGCGGGCCGCGCTCCATCGGCAAGGCACTCCTGCCGTTCATTGCCGCGGACGAGCTCCCTAAGAGGTATGGCGGGAACGCGGCCGCGGAGGTGTTTGAGAAGAAGAAGTAGCGGTGCGGAGTGCCGCAGATATTTAATGAATAGTCATGTTCGCCCGGAACACATTCACAATAATCTAATGCAAATTATAGGATTTCTCTCTCTCAATTCTGCTGATATAAATTCGCAGACCAGACTTCAGTTGCGTGTGAGAAAGAGACAGAACACGGTCAGGTGCCCGGTCTCAAGGCGGACATTTCTCTCACACGATGTGGAGCGGCTGCTATCCCGCACTTCGATATCTGAACTTCTGTCTTATCTTTCTACCGACGATGCTCACGAAAATCCTAAAACTATTCATTGCTTGCCTTGCAATTCTCCACTTTGCGACAGCGAATCACCTCCTAAAAGCTCCTCATCTCGGCCTCCAAGAGCGTTTCGACAGCTCCACCGTCACTGGCCTTCCTAATGAGCCACTGTTCATTGATGTTTGACTTCGGCTGTATTGCGCGGCCTCCGCCTCGCTAATTGTTTGCCTGTTGGTAGATGCCGCTGGACCATTTCAATGCCAGCAATCGGCGGACGTTTCCTAACCGTTACTGGGTGAATGCAACGTACTATGAACCGGGCGGCCCTGTATTTCGTTCGTCTTTCTTTTTCAACTGCTTTTTTCCCGATTTCTTTTTTTGCTGATCTGCGTGCAGTCTTCGACTCTGGGGAGCAAAACGCCGAGCCCCTGCTCCCGTACTACCTCCAAGTAAGCCGGGCCAATTTTCCCCTGTCCTGAGTCTGAGCATTATTCGAGGAATACCACGGCCTTTCAGCGGTGATGCAGCTCGCAAAACGATACCGCGGTGTTGCATTTTTGTGGGAGCACCGGTTCTACGGCGACTCCCTCCCCTTCCCCGTCAATGTGACTCGACACTGTCAGCCCACACGGCCATCGCGACGCTAATTCTTTAATGCAGGACAATACCACTACGGCTCAATGGAAATTCTTGAACACAGAACAGGCTCTTCAGGACGTAGTTTTCTTCGCCGACTCGTTTCCTAAAACTGCGGGGCATGCAGCGAACGCATCCTCGAGTCATCCAAGCAACCTTCCGATTCATCCATCCGTCGTGCCTTGGATATGGCTTGGAGGCTCTTATCCTGGGATCAGAGGTGCTTTGCTTCGCCAGCGCAATCCCGAGACTATTTTCGCTGCTTGGGCGTCTTCGGCGCCTGTAGAGGTGATCATGACGAGCCGCTATCCTGTTCGCGTTTTTCTAAAGCCCGGTAGGCACAAGTGGACATGTCGAGCTATTATAAAGCTGCGGAACGAAGCCTCACCAGAAACTGTTCTGCCGACTGGGTCGCTGTCACAAAGTAAGATTTGAGGTTGTCTGGATCTATTGAAAATGTATCAACTCCCTGAAGATTCGTCGACGATACCCTCAATGGCTCGAATGAGACGCTCAAGATCGATGTCAAGTTTGACTTGCTCAAGGCACGACTGAGCGGCCCCGGCGGAAACACAACGGGTGCAAATGGCCTGACGAGACAACGCGCAAACGCGACTAGCAACGTCAATGCTGCAACTATTCTGATGGATCCCCTGAATTTCTATCAGGTATACTTGACCCATTATCGCACGGGGAACCGAATGTTCACCGCATCCGGATAGTACTACGGCTTCCAAGACTCCCTTCTGCCTTTCTGCAACCTTCTGGAAACTCAAAATTCGACGGCAGAACCCTTCGAAGGCGGTATCGTTTCCGCACATGGCGTCAATGCTGCGTTTGATGCTTTCATGGTGGCCCTCGGGGAACTCGACTACGATTCCATCCCCGGCAGCGCGGACGATCCTGTGCAGGATCGCTCCTGGATGAGGCAGTACTGCTCTGAATATGGTGCTGTACCCTTCTTTCTCCGCGCTTTTAAAAGTCTAAGCAATGATATCCCAGGTTTTTATCAGCGCGGAGATCCAGCAAATCCGCTGTCGATCGAGACCTCCTTCCTTTCGCTCGAGCTATTCCAGCAGCAATGTAGCGAGACCTTCCCCGACCTGCCGTCTTCTCCGCAGGTTCAGTTGGTTAACAAATATGGCGGCTGGAACATGAAGCCCTCGAATATTTTGTGGACTAACGGAGAATGCAAGCGATCCAATTCATTTATTTTCTAAGGTTAAGCACTGACCTGGTCACAGTTGATCCTTGGCGCACCATGGGTCTCGCTTCCATCGAGTCAAATTCTCCTCAGCGCAAACCCACAGTATCTGTCCCACCGTGAGAAATAATTGACCGGATTTCAGACAAGGGCACTGATCTGTTTTCCTCGAGATGCAACTCGGCCGCTCCGGGAGACTCGTTTTTCGGTCTGACGCACTCGCAAATGGTACATGTGTCCGACATGCGGGTTCTCCTTGTCCCAGACTCGAACCATTCCGATTTTAAGACCGTGGGATTCTACAGCCCTGTGGCTCAGGCGCCGTTTTATACAGGATTGGGTCTGTTCCAGCTGGCGCTGGACGAGTGGTTACCTTGTTTCCACAGTAGCAGCGTTGATATGTAATTTTTTGTCTCGAGCGAAGACAAAAGGGTTCTGTTTTGGTGCCACATGAGACTAGTTGTGCGAAGATGACACAAAGGCAAAAACCCTGCAGTGATTTTTATTTGTGCCAAATTGTACCGCCATATCCCCTTTAGGACGCGGGCGTTGAGTAGCGCTGATCCCATCACCCTCGTACGAGTCAAGTTGCGAAGAGGAGCAGAATAATGAACGGGTTCAAATCAAAATGAGCCATAGAACTTTGAACTACATAAGATGTTGTGGACTACAGATTTAAAACGAGCGAACTCTCCCGAGTTCTGGCAAAAAGGAAAAACATGTTGCTCGGAAACAAAAAAAAACAAAAAACAACCATTCACGGCTATGGCCATCGTCGGGATTGAACCGACGACCTTCGTGTTATTAGCACGACGCTCTAACCAACTGAGCTAGACGGCCTGGAGAAACGTGTTTCCAATTCGCAGATGACTCGAAATTATTCAAAGTCACGAAATGTTGAAATATAAATAACGCGAAGCAGAAAATGGGAAACAAATGATGCAGCCGTAAGGAATCGGACCTAATGAATAGGGAGGTGGCGATAAAGATACGGAATTGACGATGGAGGAACGAAAAAGTGCGACGCGACGCAACGCCGTGACGTTACTGTCACGCGTCATTGTCACAGCCCAAACACAGCCACATATGAAACATCCAAGTTTATTACTTGTTTATTACTGGGCACGAAGCGATAAGTAGAAAGCATTTTGAATTGTGGTTTACATCGACACGCATTATTTGTACACATACATAATCATTGTAATCAAGTCGTTACAGCCTGCTCTCCAAAAGCAACGGCCCATTCCTCCACCCTAGTGCGTTCTTCCCAAACGCAGCGACCAACGCCTCGTTCACAGTGCGCACAAACACAAACTCCATCACGCTCCGAATCTCCATCGCGACGTCGTGCTCGACGTCCTTGCGGTTCGCCCATGGGAGGATAACTTTGGTTATTTGTGCGCGGTGGGCGCCGAGGACCTTCTCCTTAATCCCGCCGACTGGAGTGACCCGCCCTCGCAACGTGATCTCACCAGTCATAGCGACGTTCGTCGGAACACGCGCCCCAGTTAGGAGCGACACAAATGCGCACACCTAATTTTAGGATCTGAGTCGCCAGCGTGTTGAGAGGGAACAAAAACGTACCATCGCAATCCCAGCACTCGGGCCATCCTTCTTCTGCGCGCCTGCAGGTAAGTGAAGATGGATGTCAATCAGCTCGGGTACTCGTAGCGGGTCGTGTGCACGCGAGTTGGTTATGAACAGATCATAGGCGTGCGTCTTTACCCAGCTCAGCGCGATCTCCCCGCTCTCCTTGATCACCTGAGAAAGGAATGTATGAGTAAAAAAAAATCACGACAAAGTAGTGATCAAGCATACCTCGCCCAAACTCCCAGTCAGCTTTAGCCGTCCCGCGCCGGGGACTGCGATCGTCTCGACCGGGAGAATCCCACCCTCACCTTGGCCCATCACGACGAGGCCATAGACAACACCTCGTCGCTCCTCCCGCTCCCTTTCCTCTCCATCCCAGCGCGCGATCCCCAATATCGCCTCCAGCTCGCTCTCCTCCACGACTGCGGAGTATTTCCGCTTCCGCTCATTGTTCTCCTGCTCGGCGTCGACGTGCTCCGCCCACTCAACAGCCTTGTACCTCACCACCGCCCCAATCGCACGCTCAAGACTGCGCACGCCCGCCTCGCGCGTGTACTGCGTCGCGACGGTCATCAGCGCCGGCTCCGTGAGCTGTACGTGGTCCGCGTCCATCCCATTCGCGTTGAGCTGCTTGGGCAGGAGGAACCGCCGCGCGATGTGCATCTTCTCGTCATACGTATATCCCGACAGCTGCACGATCTCACACCGGTCGAGGAGGGGCCCGGAGATGGTCTCGAGGGTGTTGGCCGTGCAGATGAAGAGCACCTGGCTGAGATCGATAGGGACGTTGATGTAGTGGTCCTAAATGCGGAGGATAAGCAAAGTCACGATATATATATAAAGAAAGAAATCTCACATTAAAGGTATGATTTTGCTCCGGGTCCAGGACCTCCAGCAGCGCCGCAGACGGGTCACCGTGGAAATTACTGCCGCCGATCTTGTCAATTTCGTCACTGCACAGAATAACAGATTACTTTAGTATCCCCGAGCAGACGCAAAGAAACGACGTACAGCAATAAGACGGGGTCGGGTCTTCCGGCCTTTCGCATAGCCTGCACGATTAACCCGGGTCCGCTAGCCACGTACGTACGCCTATGCCCACGAATCTCCCCCTCGTCGCGGACGCCACCTAATGAGATGCGCTGGAATGGACGATCAAGTGCCTTGGCTACAGACTGCCCTAGCGAGGTCTTGCCCGTTCCTGGGGGCCCGACAAATCTAGGTAGTTGAGATCAGATCCAGGAAGCGAAGCAAAAATGGAGGAGGCAAGTACAGAAGAATGGGGCCTTTGGTGATTTTCCTTATTGGCCGTGGAACAGCGCTGGGCGCTTTCACTTTATCTTCGACTTTACTAGTTTCTCCCTGCTGTTGCTCGGGCGCTGGGGGAGCTGCCGCAGCAGTGGCGAGTCTCTCCCGTTCAGCATTCAGCTCCTTGAGCCTCACGACTGCGAGATATTCAATTAAACGCTTCTTGATTTTCTCGAGCCCGAAATGGTCTGAATCAAGCTGCGCGCGCGCTGCAGTCAAGAATGAGCGGTCGCGAACGCTGCTTCGTGGGGTTTCGAGGGTAGAATTCGGCCACGGGACAGCGGTGAGCCATTCGAGCTAGGTAGATGTTATTAAGTCTATTGCTGGATCGAATCAGACCGGGACCCACGTAAGACCGAATAACGCCGTTCTCTACGGAACCCTGGGGAATACGCTTGAGTCTGCGCCATTCCCGTACACCCATCTTGCGCTCCTCAGATCCCGGTTCCATTGCCTCAATGCGGCGCTTGAGATCAGCCATGTCGTCCGCCTCATGCTGCTCGTCGTCATCCAGCTCCGAAGATGAGCTCTGACCATCGACGAGGTTGCCAGGGGATGCACCAGACAGAGACTGGAGCTCCTTATGGATTGCTGCGAGTTGTTGGCGCAGGAAATGTTCCTTCTGCTGCTTGTACACAGACTCTTCCACCTGAGTGGCGATCTTGGTCGACACCTCCTGGATGGAGGCCAATTTCGCAAAAATCTCTGCTGCAAGAGTGAGACGCGCCTCGGCGTCAGTAATAGCCAAGATGGCTGGAGACGAGTCAGTGTGTGAGGTACAAATAAATGTGCATTAGAAAGTACCTAGTTTATCAGTGAAACTAGCGTTCACAGTGCCCACCAGGATATCGGCCATCCACGCAGCTCTGGCGTCCGTCACATCTTCAAGCATGCTCGAGATCTTGTGGTACCCGTCGCGTCGGATCTGCTGCTGACCCGAGTCGCGTGCAAGGCGGTCAAGGAGTCGGAGGGCGCTCTGCTTGAAAGCGTCGACGACCTTTCGGGACGGAACTTCCTTCGCATTCGGCGGGTATTGGATGTCCCACGGGATGAAGGCATTGTCCGAGTTGGGGACATAGGGAGCAAGTAAGCGTACCCGAGTAAGGCCGTGAAGGGTCAGTAGATAGCTTTGGCGGCTATTGCGTCCTGGAGGCCGGACAAGGCGCTGGATGCGGGCGGCGGTGCCACATTCCGCCAGCTCGGTCTGGTTAGTGTCTGAGGCCACCGGGACAGCGGCTACGACGGGGAGAGCATCGGATTGCTCAATAAGCTCGACAAGGGCTTCGCCGACCTCATTAGTTACAGGAAGAGTGATCCTAGAGCCTGGCAAGAGAACGGTAGGATGGGGGAGCGGGAGTATAGGCAGCTTGGAGGCAGCCATGGGGGGAGAAAGGGAAGCAATTAAAAGGGAGCTATGTATACGGTCCAAGCCAGTTTAAGCCGAGTAACACGTGAAGGACTTTATTCGCCGTCTCACTGTAACTACACCCCTAGACTACCTGACAGAATCAACACCAGACACACAACTGAAACTGTGCCTATGTCAAATTTTGACTCTTGTTGATACCGTTTTAGACTCAGTGTCTGCCGTTTTCATTAAGACTTTCAGAGTCGACAATCCTGTCGTACTGGGTCGTGCTGAGGTTACAAAATTGCCTCTCCTCCTTTAATGAGAGCTAGGTTCCTTTCTTCTTCTTTTTCTTTACATTGGGTCTCGGTGATGGAACATCTGCAACCTCAATCGAACCGCCTGCCGCCTCCGCCTCGACGCCCCCTCCTTGTTCAATTTTTGTCTTGGCCTCTAGGAAAAACATCACATCCCGGAGTTGATCCTGCAGTTCTTCCATCTTGACAAGACTCTCTCTCTTTTCCTTCTCCGCCTGCTCAAGTCGTTCCTTTGCCTTCCCTAGGTTCTTCATCAAACCTTCACTCACAGCACGCTCTGCATTGAGCTCTTTTTCAAGGCGACGCGCAAGATCTGTCAATTTCTCGGCGCGGCTTTCGGCCTTTGTCTTGTCCTTCGCCAGCGACACCATCCTGGCGTCCTCGTCTTGCTTTCTGTCTGCCATCTCCTCCTTGGTCGCGGCCTTATCTTTCTCAAATTCGCTGCTCAGCCTCTCCAAAATACCGCGCAGCTCGCCGACCTGTGTCTTCAGTTCATTAGTTTGCTCCTCGTAATAAGCCCGCTGAGAGTCAAGCTGCGACGTCAAGAGATACGAGTATTCGATTCCGATTGCCTCGATCTTCTCGGCGCTCAGGGCGTCCGCAGGTCCCGGACCCAGTCCACCGTCTCGGGGACTGGTCCCCATCGACGAGGAGGCACTGGGCAACTCGACGAGCTTGCCGTCGGCCTTGTTCTGGATGAGGCGATGGACATAGCCGTCTCCCGCGTAGTCCCATACGCGCTGTGTCTCAAGTTCAAGCGCGTACAGGTGCGTAGTGGACTGGTAGTGAGCCTGCGCGTGGGCGCGTCCATAACGTCCACATCCAATGTTGCCACAAATCAGACAAATCCAGAGATTGGTGGTCGATTCGCAAGAGGAACACGCCGATAAGGTGGGCGCAGATGGGTTTGCGAACGGGATGGAGGGTGCGGAGGAGGAAACACTAGGATGTGACGACATGAGTGTCTGCGAATACCGACATACTGGACACCTAGACAAAAAAAAAATTAGGTCCGCCAGTCGGTACATTTCTATGACGACTTACCGGCTGTCACCCCATTTACTCAAACACATGCAATGGAATGTGTGGGAGCACGGGACAGTGATTAACCCCGTCACAGCAGAATCCATGCGCTCGAGACAAACTGGACAGGTCGGCAGTTCATACAGAGCTTGGGTCGATGCCAGACGCGATAATGCTGGGTCCTCAGCATCCATGGTGACGGATAGAACACGGACGACATGGCATATTTCCGGCTACAGTACTGTAAAGATAAT